AGTGCATCCTGCGGTGGCTGCAGTCGTGGTTGACGCCCTCCATATGGTTGCGCGTTCTGACCCGTTGACGCCGTGGTCCGCGCTTGGCCGCGGCGGGGCCTGTCGCGCGCCGTGTACGAAGGCGCTTGTTCACTCCTAACCGTACACACGCCGTATCGGTCACCCCGTAGCGCCCGGCCCGGTCGTGCCACCACTGCGGTTGTTTCTTCTTGTCAGTCGGGTTTTGGCCACACGGCAAAAAGAAACAATCACCAAACTTGTTCTTCGCGGGGGAATTAGTGGAATGGGCCAAAAGCCCCGCAATAGGCAAGCTGTTTCAGCACAGTTTTTTTTTGCACTTATTCCACCTAGGGCTTGTCGTTTCACGACAGCCAACGCGCAAAATCAATGGCGCAAGTGTCGAACAGAATTGCCGGTTTCGCCGAGGCCGGACTGTGCAACCGAACGGCACTGCGCCTGCCAGAATAAGCTTATTATTCGCAGCTTTTGCCCCTGTTCCGACCGCCACTATTGCATAATAAGTCTGGAAAGGTGAGGAAGAGGAAAAGAGGAGAAGGGAGGTAGGGGGGGGGGGGTTGTTAGTGGCGGCCGTCCGCGGCTCAGCAGCGCCGGCCACGTGTAGACGTGGCCCACCATATAATGCCCCTCTTGCTTTACACCGCCTCCCTACCCGCAGCGGCGCTCTGGTTTAGTTTCGCATGATGACGCCGCACGCGCCGCACACGCGCCAAAACGGCCGCGATTCGAGCCAGATCAGCAGCGGTACACTTTTATTGAAATCGTAGCACCTCGTATGTCAGGCGTTTTGGTATGGGCATTTGTTTTGTGACGACCCCAAAACCGCGTGTTTTGTGTTTTGGGGAGCTAAATGCAATTGAGATAACGTGGAGGGCATCCTTTATCGGCTATCATTGTCAGGAGTTGCCGCGCCTCGTCAAATCAAAATCAAATCCAAAAGACCTTTGTAATGTGAGGGGTAGGGGGTTTCCTTCCGGTAGAGACAGTCTTCAGGGCTGTGGAGGGCTGTGGGATAACTAATTATTTAGATGTGCAGCTGTACGCATAAGTCATCTGTTTCTACGTGAGCGTTGACGTCCTTTTTTTCGTGTGTGAGCGCGCCACACTGCCTGCGGACTGAACGGCAAGTACGCAGATTAGATGAAGTCTTTCATACTGCACTGTCTCGTCTAAGACCAACGAATGGCCGACCCCAGTGTAACAGGGCCCTGTTTTGGTGCATGTGGGCTCGCATGCA